CTTCCCGAATTGGCAGTTACACTGACAGCAGACACCATGTTTCTTGTCTGCTTGCCCGAAAACTCTCCTCTCATCATAGGGTCTGGGAACTCGATGAGACTTTAGGGACGGATTCCCCAAACTTGTGGTAGGCAAGAGTTGGCGGCAGCGCATGTGAGCTGCGAAGCGCAAGGAATCCGGAATTTACCTTCCAAGTCCTGCCGACAGTAGCTGGAGTCAGCCGACACGAGCTGAGAGCGCGTTTGTGCTACTCGTAGGAGAACTGAGTCTGCAGCACATGGCGCCCCGGCCCCGACGACCCAGGAAGAAGCTTGTGGGCAAAGGTTGTGCTGAGACATGCTCAGACTTAGCCGGAGAAGCAGGTCTAAGGCGAATGTCAACGGAATCACGACTTTTCCTGAGTCTGACCGAAGAAACTTGAGGTGAATGTGGCCTATGCCTGCGCGAGCCTCACAGTCGAGCAACCTGGTTCAAGCACTAGGAACCCCTTTGCAAAGCCGCCCAGGCATCCGAACCATTACATAAACATGCTGATACCCAGGATCCTGCGATTGTGGGGGTTTATCATTGCAATCCAAGCTTTGCATGCTGTAATTTGTCCGGCGATTCCGTAGCCATGTTGAATCTTGTCCGTCCTGTAGGCCAAGTAGCTAGCAGTGTCGGAGGCAAAGCAGAAAAACCCTGCAACAAAACCCACAACCCGTAGCCGCTATAGCCTCCTGCCTATTAGGTTCATGTGCTCTTGTAGGGACCGTGCCAGAAGCAGAGCCTTTTAGTTTCCCGTCCCACCTTCTAGCTTTGGTTTCGGAGGCCTGTGTAAAGACCTCGTAGATATTAGCCCGGAATCTGCAGTTCGGTTTTGATTTTGCAAGCGGGTTCGTTCATGGTACTCCCCTTCGGAACATTGTTTTGGTGGCGTTGTTTCAGAGGCGTCCCTTACTTCCTGCAAGTCCCGCTTGAGGACCGATTTGCGGCGGAGGGCTTGGAGGATATCGAATCGGGGATCACATGGGGCTAGGGTTCTGCGGTTTAGCAGAACCCACGCACACCTGAAGAGCTCTTACCTTGTATAGAATCCGTGTAGAAACCTTATATTATATCATAGAGAACCCTTGCGTCACAGAACCCTTAGAGAACCCTTCGCTTTTTGCTGCACTGGCCCGAGGCCGGGACTGGTGGCTCGGATTGCTGACGAGGCGGCAGCACGGCCAGAGGCTCTCAAGGCGGCGTACTTCCTAGTCTTGCTTCTTGGAGAAGGAGGTTTAGACCCTAAACCCTAAACCCTAAACCCTAAACCCTAAACCGTATTAGATTTTAAGGTTTGGGATTAGGGTTCGGGATTTGAAGGATAGGGTCATGACGACAGAAGTACACCCAGAGACGATTCCATGAGCGTGCCTTTGAGTTATCAGAAGCTTCATGCGTTTAGGGTTTAGGGTTTAGGGTTTAGGGTTTAGGGTTTAGGGTTTAGGGTTGAGGGGAGGTTTCCGTAAGCCCTACAGCTCCTAAGTGCCCAGCTCAGAGTTCAAATCCTACAGCCCGTACCGTACCCGTACATCCCTCTAGTGGTAGAGTAGGTAACCTTTAACGTTTTTGGGGTACTTTACTTCCTATATAATCCCAAAGGTTTGCCTTTGGTTCTTCTGTGGTACTGGACAAGTAAGCCCCTATAGCTAAGGCCTGAGTCCGTAATTCCTTTCACCCTGCAAGAACCCCGTAAACTTAGACCAACAGTCCCCCTTTATCCTTCTAGCCCCCCAAGTCTAAGACACTACAGCCCCAAACCCTTCAATCCCATAGAAGAAACATAAGCCCCTTGAACCTCTAAATTTTGAACATAAAGCCCTGTGCGAATCCTCGCCTGGCCAGTCCGAGTTGTGAGAGCGTAAACCGGCGAATGGAAAAGGGATCGCGCAAAAACAAAAGACACCTCATAGCAACCCAGCCCTTATAGAACCCTATAAAGAAACCTACCAAAAGCCCTAAACCCAGGCAGGCGGAATCGCCACAGAAAAGGCCACTTACACTTTAAAAAAGCCCCAAACCGTAAACACCTTAAAACCCTAAACCCTAAACCCTAAACCCTAAACCCTAACACCCTAACACCCTAACACCCTAACACCCTAACACCCTAAACCCTGAAGAGGCCGAAGAGCTTGCGTCCCTGACCTGGGCCGTCGCCAGGGCCTCGGTGTCGAGCCGGCTCCGCCTCTCGCAGCTTGGCACGAAGATTCTTGGCGGTTCGGGCTGGAGCGGTGAGGGGGTCATGGTTATAGGTTTGTAGGATGCTTTAGGGTTTTAGGGTTATCATGGGGTTGAGGGCCAGAGTGTTGCAGAACTCCAGCAATGGCATTGAGCGCAAACAAGGCCCGTCTAGGAATTTAGTGCTGTAGGGTCATAGGCTTACGAGGTTCAGGGGAGATCCATGCCCTGATCTTGAACCATGTGCATGCGCTTTCTGCCTTGGAGACGTCAAACTTCTGCGGTCCGACAGCAGGAGTGTCTCTCATCCACTGCGTCGGGATGGAGTGGTGATGAATTTCATGCGAGATCGATTTGAAGATGATTTGAGTTCGGGCTTTTGTCAGCTTTGGTGCTTGCAACTTTTCCACAGGGTAATCTCGAGTCACTGGCTGTAGCTGTAGTTGCAGAAGAAGTGCTGGCTTCACCACCGCGTTGAAACGCCGGTAAAAACAAGAATTGACGTGTAACACAAGTGAGTCAAGGTTGTGAATGGGCAGCTGTCCCTTTGATAATAGGGGTTCATGTCGAAGCACAGGAGTAGTGGAGCGGTGATCTGTTTTGTTGCCGGAGAGCTGTGCATGCTTTTGATGTTGCAGCCGTGATGGCTGCTGTTTGGCTTGCTTCTGAAACGTGGAGTAACCGCAGTTTCACGTCAATGCTTACACCAGCAATCAGACCCTTCATCGTAGGTTCGTCCTAGCAAGGCGGGATTCAAAAGGGAAGGTGCTTTGCCTGGTATTGTGCAGTGTCTTATTAAAGCAACAGGTGCATGCGAGGTGGCTAGCAGGATCCTCCACAGCGCAGATTTTTCCTTATGGCTGTGCTAGGAGCTTGACGCAGCAAAACCAGGTCAAACCGTCACTCCCCAGGTTTTTTACGACCTGGTTCCTAGAATTCAAGTGCAAGCCAGCGGGAAGTGCGGCTTTGTTCGAGCTTCCGACTTTCCGGCATTGTAGCCACTGTATTCCAAGGTGTAGAAACAATGCAGGGGCCTTATTATGCAGACTAGGGTTTTGGGGGTTCCTTATTCTACTTACAGTATCATATACCCCCCCAAGCCCTATTCTAATGATGAAGGCCCCTATATTAGGGACAACAGTGTCCTACGGCTGCCAGACTCAGCCTGATGCGAGGTTGTCGACCCTGGCAGCAGAGGCCGCAGAAGCGGACGCGGGAGCACAAGAGCTGCGGGCCTGCCGTTAAGGGTTTAGGGTTTAGGGTTAAGGGTTTAGGGTTTAGGGTTTAGGGGTAGGGTTTAGGTTACAGTGGCCTAGGCTTCGTGGGGTTGTGGCATCAGGCTGGGTGGCTCAGGCCTTTCTGCAGGGTTTTAGAAAGATTGGAAGGTTTTCAGGTGCTCCAATGACAGCAGGTTCCGAACCTGATGATGCTGCTTGGCAGGCCCGTCCTTACATTGCGAACATCGGAGAAGGGGATCCCCGAGATTTTGCAGTTGTGTGATATTCGTGCAGAGCAGGGTGATGACCATATCAGTTCACGTTGCACCGAATGTGGGGCAGAGACTTGGCACATCGGGACGCCTGAGCCTTGAAAACCTCAACTCGCGGGCAACCCCGAGCGATTAGAGCTTCAAGCCCCAAGTCTCAGACCAGGTGAAGAAATTCCTGCCATGCAGGGTAATATCCTGTCTGCATTGATCCCAGGTTAGCGAACACCCTTTGGTCTCTGGCATCCATGCTGGTGCGAGATGCGGAGGCACAACTTGTCCATACCATGGAGACATGCATGAACTTGTCAGGCCAGGGGCAGGAGGGGCAGGAAACCGCCCTGGTTCCAGGGAATTGTTCTTTTCAGGGTAATCTTGGGGAACTCACATAAGTCATCACACTGCACACGTGCGTAGACAGTGCCTACTTATCCTACATGTATGTATGCTCGGATACTTGCTTGAACTGGTTAGGTTAGTGTGAAAGTAGCTACGTGCACATGCACAAAAAACCGCTGGCAAACTCGAGCCAGAATGCCATGGGCTAAACAGACGGGGCCATGGGATGGGATGGTTGTGAGGTTACAAGGCCTCAGGGAAGAGCATTCCGTGGCGTGAATTCAGGATGGTGATTAAGACATTTGGCGGTGAGTTCACTTTTGCTTGTTTCTTTGGCTGGAGGAGAATGGCTAGACTTGAGCCAAGTAGCAACGAGTTTCTTTGTGAGCTGAAGGCCTGCAGGACAAGACTTTATTGAAAGTCCTGCAAAGATTACGTAAGATTCAGCATGTTTCCCTGGCTTGGCTTGGACCTGACCGTGAGGAAGCTGTGTGAACGTCACTCGATATGATACCATTTGTCTTTCTGTGGATATAACCATTGGCAAACACATAGATGTCATGAGGGGATACTCTGCTGTATATTATACTGTTTACCAGCGTTGCACTCGTGCTACCTCCAGGTTCTCGCTGGTTTCGGCGAGAAGGCGGGAACAGAAGCTGTTGTTGAAATTGAGCAATGCCGTTGATCATGTCCCGGGTAGCGTCCAGACAACTACGGCAACGGTGACATCGATTGTGACGTTTGCGAGTTTGAAGGATACGGGATGATTGTGATTCTGATGATGGTGACGTCCTGCAGGCATGGGGCAGTCAAGAATGCGTCAAGGCCCAAGCCATCGCAAGCCCTCCAAGCCCAACTCCTACCAGCAATCGTGGCAGATCTGGTTCTAGCAGTCCTCGGTACAAAGAGGCTGAGCCTGCTCCGCGCCTGTGGCAGGTCTTGGAAAAAGTCTCCGAATTCAAGTGCCTGGATGTCGCAGCTGGGCTGCGTAGCGAGTTGTCGGTATTTGGAGGTGGACCAAAAACGGGATGGGGGCCTCAGGGCTTCCAGTGCGTTGAGACGTTTCAGAACCTGCTCGACTCGGCAAGGTGAACAGCGCCTGGGCGTTTGCGACTCTCCGTGAGGTCCGCGTGATCTGGCTTCCTTGTTTGCCCAAACTTTCCAACACTCTCTTCCACCTTCCTAGCTGTCACCCCAAATCAAGAATCGGAAAACAAGACGATTCATTGTCACATTCATATTATCAAGAGTGAGAACCGGGCTTATACGCACACTATTCATAATGGTCAGTAGAGAGGTGGACGGACAACTCTTTCGGGCTCTCGAAGAGCGCTGTCTCAGCGGCTGCTCGGCGACATCTCGGTATGAGGTTTAGTGTAAGGCTTTGGGGCTTTTCCGAAACCTGGAGCCAGCGACGTTGTGGACCTCATGACCCCAAGGCGATGACCGCTACATTGCAGTGTAGGGGCGAACGGATGGATCAGATAGACCTAGCACCTTTAAGACAGAGGTTCGGTTTCGTTGCCTGAAGCTTTGGGAAGAAAAAAAGAGCCTTGAGCACTAGGATAGGGTTGTGGTTGCTGATTGTATGATATGGTAACTTATCTTTGCATGTAGCATTCGTGGGTCAGGTAGTGGGTGCCTTCTCGTCGATGCCACGCCACAGCAGTCAGGGCCCCAACTCGGAGCTGCCGTTCTGGAGGTGTTGGAGTCGAGGTCCTGGCGGTTTCAGAACTGGCTTGCACGGCTTTTCCTCCGGCTTGCAAGGGATTTTGGTTTCACTGGTCTCGGCAAGCATTTTGGTGATATGACCAACAGCACCACATCTTCATTAGCAGCGTTCTGTCTACATTCTACTACCTGCCGGGGGCAGACAAGTGCTGATCCCCGCACAATCGGAAATGTCTGCTTGAACCCGCCTAAACTAAACCCCTCAGTGAGTTTTGAGTCCAACGCCCCACAGGCTTGCGAACCTAACATGGGCCTTCGCGACTGTCGGGCATGGCTCCGAAGGCTGCGGAGCAGTGGTGTGTCTATTACGGTCAAGGAGTCACCACGCCCACCCATTGGCAATAGCAGCAATATAAGTCTTAATCATCTTACTCAGGTTAATACAAGCCAATTTCGATAGTACAACATCCTGGACAGCACTAGGCTCAAGCTCGGAAGCTGCAACTTGGGCCAGATTTGTGTAACAAAAATACCATTCCGAAATTCCCAATCAACTGTACAACTTGCAACGTCCGTACTCACAGGCCGCAATAGGAGGTTTTGCCACTACACGAAGGCGAACTATTTGAGCTGGTCGCGCGGGAAGCCCGCCCCAAATTGGGCGATTTCTCCATGCAGGGCATTGCGAACCTCGCGGCCTTGGCAGCGTTACGATAGGCATTTCCTGGATTTTATAGGATGTCAAAGGATTCCAATGTCTATGCGAAAGGGCTTGGACAAGAAATGACAATCAGAGCTCTTCCGCGCAGTCAGTAGATGGCTGAACACCATCCAAGCATCAACGTCCTCTTGCTGTGGACATGGCTGCAGCATCCTTGACAAAGGTTTGGGCTTTTGCAACTGCCGGCGTGGATGCGACGGAGCTTTTCCAGGTGACATTGTGTTCTGACAACGATTCAGGTGAAGGGTTGTTACGATGGATCCTCATCTCACTGATGGAAAGCCCGAAGGCTATGATACTAAGGGCTCGCGCACGATGGGGCATGTTTGGTGGAGCACTTGAGTGTTTCTCTTTGCAGGCAGTGGGCGATAAGCTGATGTCGGATGGTGGGAGGCCTCCAGGCGGCAAGCAGTCCTTGGCGGGCAAATGGGGGTTTCCGAAAATAGGGGGGTACCTTATTTTGGGGTCCTTATAATAGGGATCCTACTATTTAGGATACTATATTAGGGTCCCCTATTTTTGGGAACCCCCAAATCAGGACTTCAACCACATGCACCCTTTTCTTGATTTTGTCACAGGGTGCCGAAAGAAATACCACAGAGTGTGCGCTGCCACCGTTCCTTTTTTTAGGCCGCAGTCACAAGAGCATACGGGCATGCCTTATGCTTCAGAGGCCTCTTGTCAGCCAGAGGTATCTTGCCTCGGCATTAATACAGCAAGCAGTGAGCATGAAGAAAGGAAGGACCCTTTGCCCAAAGAGTTGAGCTCTGGCCCACTGCCTGGTTCAATGCGGCACAGCTGTACACCATTCACCGGTTTTGGTTTAGATGCTCATTGCTCTGGCAAGGCTTCACCCACAAAGCCTCATGAGGTGCAGAGCGCATCTCGAAACCCAGTTCAGGGCCCATGCATGGGCTCGACCCTGAACCAAAAGCAGATGCAAGAGCCAGTTTACTTAAACCCGATCTTTCAGACGTGTACCAATGGTTGAAAAAACCCGATCTTCGCTTCACGACCATCTCACCGACGATCCATTCAAGCTGGAGGCTCCTCGATCGAAGCCCGGATGCGCAGATCGCGTTTGGTGTCGATCTGACCGCCGTGCTGCAAAGTTTCCGTGCCTTGCCCAGTCTCCAATTCGCTCCTCCTTCACCAGGACTCGATTTGTTCGATTTGAGCATCGCCCAAGGGCCAAGGCTGTTGTGGTATGATCCAGGGATTTGTCTGAAGATGTGCTGTGCAGACCCGTTTCTTCAAGGAAGAGCCCAACAGCTGGTTCTTGGGTTCAAGATTTCGTTTAAGGAGTTCGAAAAACTGCCCCAACTGCCCTAAGGCGCCAGAGGCTTCACACATCCTGTGATGCACTGGGCCCAGACTGAGGCGAGGCTTTAGGATGTTGATGGCGCTTTCTTGGGCAAGCCTTTTTGGGTGGGGTGATTAGGCTTGCGGAGCAGTGCCGAGTCGTGTGGATTCAGGTTGAAATTAGTGAGTAGTCCTAGCGCAGGTCCAAAGACGGCGTGGGCAGGCGGTGATTGTTTACCATGCTTACCACTTCTTTGCTTATTAAGACAGTTGATCAGGCATTTCTTCCTTGGGCTGCTGTGGTTGTTGTTGGTAGTCTTTGTTTGATCTGAATTTCCATGGACACTGCCGGCTTGTTGTTGCCATGTTCGTATTTCCAATACTGCAAGCTTGTGTGTACAACATTCGACAACCTAAATCCCAGAGCCCAGTTCCTATGCCGGGGCGGGAGAGAGGGAGAGAGAGAGAGAGAGCGCTTTCTCGCACCCTACGCCCCGGAGAATAGAATAGAATAGAATAGAGAGAGAGAGAGAGAGCTCTAAGGGTTAGGGCTTCACGGTGTTAAAGACTCGGACCCACAGTTTGTCGCCAGGGCCTGCGCCAGCTGGGACAACACCTGGACCTGACCATCGTCGGCTCCTTATCCCCCGCGCCCAGGCGGCGCCAGAAAGTCTTGCAACTCCTACTTCCGGCATAGCATGGACAGATTCGAGATGGTTTAGACAATACACCGCCCTTGCGCAGGCGAACTGGTTTAGACTCCTAGATGTTTCCGTGGCTTATGTCAGCAGGTCAGCAAGTCAGCAAGAGCTATGCCGACTTTAAGGCCGACATTCCTACTGGTAGCAAGACCGGATCAGAATGAATCAATCTTCTACATTCTACGTGCCCCTGAGTCCCAGAAGTTCAGAAAATTGACATTTTAGGGTTTAGGGTTTAGGGTTTAGGGTTTAGGGTTTAGCCTCTATGTCCTGTAAGCCCTATGTTCAACGTCCTGGGAGGTCGTTGGGCACCCTGCCTGACATGCCAGAGTTCGTTTTCAACGATGAGGCCGTGATTCCTCGACTCTGAGGGTGTGGAGCTCGGGTGCCCTAAGTCTTGAAGTCCTGCTCTAATATATAATATTATATTTTATTTTATTAATTATATTGTATTATATTTATGTCATACTATAAAGCCCCAAACCTTGAACCCTAGCACCCGGTGCACACTTTATTGGATGGTGGTCTCCAGGGCTCACGGGTGTAACCACGATGCTTGAAATCGAGCGGCTTCAAATCAACACCGTGCCACAAGCGGGTTTAGGCTTTACGGTTTAGGGTTTAGGGAATCATCTGTGGCCGGGCGAGCTCCAATCAAGCCTGTGTAAAAGGGAATCATCTGTGTGCCAGCGAACACACCTCAACAGCGGGGGGCACACAATCCAAGCCCATGCTGAAAAGGGAAGCATCTGTGCACTTGTCAAAGACCTTTTACCATGTTAGGTCAGGTTTTCGCAGCTCGTGCTGTAAGCATCATGTCATGACGGACATCCCAGTTGCCAGGATCGTTGTGTGGTGTTAAAGCCTCCGGGCTGGCAGGTGGACACGGCGCCTCAACTGCAACTCCACTGTTTTGATCCTGTTCGAGCCTTTCCCGTGATTATCAGGGTTTCAGTTGAAGAGATTTGCTTCTTGAGCCCTGCACGACAAGACTTTTTCTAGGGCCTGCGGCTGCAAGCCCTGGGTGAAACCTCGTAACCGTGAGACTCAGAGAATTGCGGATCCTGCCCCAACTTGCCATTCAGTCGCCAAGGAGGGCGACGAAGAGGATTTCATCGAGGAAGCACACTCCGCGCGGGAGCCGTCCGACCTTGCGATAGCATAGTCTGTGGTGAGGATGAGCAAACACGACAGAGGAACTAGGAAAAAGAAACAGCTTGGGGCTTTGAGCTTGAAGTATGGTGTTATGGAGTCGGTGATCGACAAGTCCGTGTCTTGAGGTGCGGGGCTTAGCTTCATAAGCTCACAAGATCTTGCTGGATGCTTCCGCACGAGTGGCCCCCATGATAGCTGCGGTATGGTGAGGATGCTGATCATGATCATCATCGCCCGCATTCATTCTGGAAGAAGTGTAACGTGAGTAATGGGGTCCCGTCAAAATTCGGGATTTTTGGCATGGGTTTGCTGGTCGGGTGGTCGACTCTCAATTCTGCAATGCAGAAGTGGGGACGCGATAGAAGTACGCACCACCACCACCACCACCACCACCACCACCACCACCACCACCACCACCACCACCACCACCACCACCACCTCGACCACCTCGACCACCTCGACCAAGACCGCCTTGTCACCTCTATCGCCACCACACCACTACCAACGCCACCACCTCGACCGCATCAGCCATCATCCACTCTCCTGCTCGCTACTAGTATCACCCTCACCACCCACCGCCCGCCATCCTTCACCATCCTAATCACAATTTCTTTCTTTCTGGCCGCCACCGCCACTACCAATCATCATCATCATCAGCATCACCACCACCATCGCCATCATCACCCCATCGGCATCATCACCACCACCGCCACCATCAGCTTCATCATCGCCATCATCGCCACGACAACCTTATCATTATAATTATGCTTGTTTGCTACCTGCTGCTCAATTTCCTCATCATCTTTTCCTTCCGTGGTCTCCACCGCTTGGCTATGCTGGGTTTATCACCACAACCCCCGCAAACCACAGCGTCGTCAAAGGCAGGAATGATTTCGTTTGATCCTTGCATATGTGAACAGACAGCATCCTTGGTGTCACCACCATACAGTCGGCAATTGAATCCTTCCAAATGCCGAGGCGAATGGCTAGTTTTTGACAGTAATTCGACCAGGTTCCTGCAGGCAAAACTCCTGACAACACTGGCAACGGTAGCAGCTGCGAGTGACCGGGGCGATGGTCATGTTTGTAGCAAATGAACGAATGAGCACGACCATGACCATGACATTTCCTGAAGGAGATGCTCTCCGGCTTCATGATCTCCACTTTCTCCGGTACACGGCCTTGGTTTTGGTGATAGTACATAGGTCTATGGTGCCTCACAGCATGACACTCAGAAACGTTTACTTGCCCGCGCCCCCCAGATTAACATCGGGAGACCCCGTACGTATTCATCGGCCCCAAGGTGGAGAGTTCATCTCGAGTATCTGGGAGAAATTGTTTGCCCATGCACGTTTTCGATTTCTGGTGGTAGCTAACATTGCTTCATGCAGGCGTCTGCGCCATCTCCGTGTTCCGAGTATGAGAGCGCAAATGGGAGTTTCCGACAACAAGGGGTGCCTTCTTTTGGGGTCCTTATAATAAGGATCCTACTATTTAGGGTACTATATTATTAGGGTCTCCTATTTTCAGAAACCCCCAGATGCTTCCAACACCCGAGCCTTTTCAAGGCCCCGAACTTCCAGGCATGCAGCTTCCAATTCTGACGGACCGCCGTTGCAAGAAGGGCTTCCTTCACAGGTGAGCTCCTCAGGATGTTACGGTTGTAAACGGCTTGAGGGTTTCAGGGTTCAGCGCTTTAGGGTCTGGGCAAGTTTGCGGTTTAGGATCGCCGTATTCGCATTGACAACTTTGGGGGGAATGAGGTAAGACACATTAAGATAAGGTCGGCACGTCGGCCCCAAGGCATCGTAGTTTTCGCAGGATAAATAGATAAATCTAACATGTATGTGACTCAGGTTTCGGCCTTGTGGTTCCCTGACAGTTCGCAGGCCACCCCGGAGATTTCCCAGAGGCTGCTCTTGCTCCTTTGTCGATATTGTTATTATTACTGTACGTACTACTACCATTACAAAAAAGTACTACTACCATTATTAGCAGCATTATTGTCATTATTGTTATTACTGTGCTGATCGTCTGTAGACAGCAATCGAGCCTTCAAGGTTCGTGAGAGCTTCAAACATCAGCTGTCATCTTCCTAGGTTATATATATATATATGGTTATATAAGGTGGTTTCCGAGTGATATCTGGAAAAGTCGAAGGCACAGGCATTGGTAACACAACTCCGGAACAGCACGGTGCCCCAGGTTAGATGTACCAAGCTCTGGCCTGATCTTGGCAGCAAAGACGTACGACGCCTACTTCGATTTGCTTGGGCAGCTGGCATGACTCCTGCCACAAGCAGAGGGACGGTTCAGCGATTTCGCGCCATTGCTTGGTTGTTGGGGTTTTGGAAGCAGTCTTTGCACGCATGAAATGCTGTGCGCACATGCCGTGTGTGCATGTCGATCTTCACCATCACCGAGGTGGCAACATCTCTCGCGATTACGTCGTGATGCTGCATGGCTTCCTGGCTGCGTCACGAGGAATTTTCCAGGTCTCCTTGGACAAGGCCAGGACATGGCTTGATGGTCTGGGATGCGGCAACGAGGCGGGTTGATAGGCTACACAGCCACAAAAGGCGTGCAGTAGGCCAATAGACTTCAATAGTCTGTACCTCCACAGTGCAGAGGTTTCAGGTGACTCCAGCCGAGCCCCATAAAGTGTACTATCTCAAAAAGCAGGAGCAGAATGCCAAAGCAGGGCTTTGCCGCCAACATGGAAGAGGTCACGAGCAGAAAAGCGTTGTGTACAATGCAAACGGTGTCCTAACAGACGCTGGCAGATGGTCAAGATGCGACTCCTGTAGAACATGGCATCGTACTGCGCTTATACTCGTATGCAGGGACATAGAGTGGACAAGTGGACTGTAGGCCCTGTACGTTTTGATCAGCTGTCGCCAAACCTTTTGCCCTCGGAGTGCAGAAGGACGTGGGTGCCACGTGGTCCGCCAAGAGCGCTGTGCTAGAAAGTGGAGGCAGCACTGCAGCAATTCGGACCTTGATCCTTTTTTTGCTCGTCAGGTGTTTGCTGTTCAAATCCCAACCTTCAGGATTAGCGGATTAGTGGAGTCGCATCTCCCCCAACAGTCACAAAACCTTGAGGGCTCGGAGCTGTATTTGGCTACGTGGGCCAGAGACGGAGCCCGGATTTGGGACAAGTCTGAAGTCCAAACGGAGGCTCACGTAGTGTTGGCATGACGTTCATGCATTTTCGTTAGGAGCGCTTGAAGCGGATTCGAAGCCGGCTGTGACATTCAACCTTCGGGGAGAGACGAGTGGTCGGAAGCCAGAAGCTGTAGAATTCCTGAGCCCTAAAAGTCTGAACCATCAACGCCTGCTTGCTACTGTAGCGCTGTATAGAGTTGGGAGTGGCAAAGAAAACCCTCACAGCCTGTAATCTCACTATAGTACTATAGACCCTCCAACTCGTGGAAGCCTGGAAGCTGCGGTGCTCAGCTCCGAGCAGGCAAAGCCTCCTCCACACGATTGCCTCTTGGTTTGGATTTGGCCCCAAAAGCAAGAGAATTCGCAACTTCAGGAATCCGTGGTACCCATCTGAAGCTAAATACAGATCTGCCTGCGAGCTCGGGGTCCAGGAGTGGAGATTATGAAAGCGCCGTTTCAAGAGATTGAATGCAGGCCTTTGTCGCGTGCAGCTTTCGAGTTTTGCAGACCTTGGTAAGATGCGATCCTTTGGCCTCGTGCCAGAATCGAAACCGAAACCTACACAATTGGAGCCCGAAGCCTTCTGAGATCCTTGGCACGGGAAGTATTGTTGTAGAAACCGATGAAGCGAAAGTGCTGTGAACCACGAGTGTCATGAGTGTCATCACAATTCGGTTTCTTGGAGGTGCTGTTAGGGTTCGGACTCAAAATTAGGTGTGTCGGTGTGCCCAGGCGCGTGGGCGGCTATGTTTTCGCACAGCAGCACCAGCGGCTCGGATGTTCCAGAAGCACCGGCACTGGTTGCACTAGACAAAGCCTCAAAGCTGGCGACCAGAACAGCTAGTACTGACGGCGACAAGCACAGCCAGTACTGACAGCACCATCGGAGATGCAGTTCCAGCTGTTGTTGCAGCACGGCCCGCCGACAATCTACAGCACATCGAACGAAAGGCAGTCGTTTTTGCACAGGGCTGCACCGCCTCTACACGGATCTGTCGCACCAGCACCAGCCACCACCAATTGCCATAAGAGCAGCAACAGCGTTGTTGTCAGCAGCAGTGATGGCAAGAGCAGCAAGAATCACTTTAGACAATCAGTCATAGAAGTTTGTCAAGCACTGATGTGGATTAATGGTTGAATGTTTCTGACAGTTGCTGCAGTTGCTTTGTCGGCCGGGTGCAAGCTTGGCAAGGCCGCTGACCATCGTGGCGATGCGGATTGATTCCGGGCGGCGGCACCAGCGCCCAAACTCGGATTCGTAATCTCCTGCAGACCCTGCCCGAGATCCCAACGTCAGAACGAACCCCATGTATTTGGGATCACTCTGCAATACGACTCATGGCTTTGGCGACCCTGCACACAAATTGAGAACCGGAGTGAAGCGGCCTGCCCTGTTATCGTTGAGTTGAATTTAAAGCATCCCTCTTCGAACCGCTCGTGCAAAGGATCCGAGTGCAGTCTGCCTACGCTGGCCATCCCACAGCATCTGGGCAGCAGCTTCCCAGAATCCTCTTAACGCTTTGCCACATGCGAAAGCATTCAGATAGTGACGATGATGCTGACGGCCAGAGGGCGAGCAAGGCGGCGTGCCATCTTTGCCAAGGCTTCGTTCAGCTTCCCCCGGCAACTGCCGCGACAATGACAGTAGTGAGGACGGTGATGGTGATGGTGATTCGTCTAGAAGAATGAATCGAAATCAGACCAACACTGGTGTTTGCCGCGTTGTAGCCCCGCCGACGGTGATTGTCGAAGCCAGCATAAGTGGGACTTAAACGGTTCTGGACCTTTTCTCACTGCAGCTTCAGATGGGACATATGTTGAACGAATCTTCATTCGAAAAAAGCCCAGCTCAGGACAAAGTTTCAGTAACACCTTCCGTCCCACGCTACAGGGGCACCGTCCGCTCCGGAAAGAGTTTGCCTCACGGAGGCCGCAGAAGGTACCTAGAGGTACCTAGATGCTCAGAGCCGAAACGCAAGTTCGCGCTTTCAAGTCGCACATTCTGGGTTCTTGCCCATGTCCCACCCATCGTCGCCAACATCATCGACACCATCGCTATCATGCTGTTCGCCCTGGCTATCACCACTGACTGCCATCGCAATCGCTGGCATCATCATCACCATCATCATCATCATCCTCATCATGATCATCATCATCATCATCATCATCATCCTCATCATCACCATCATCCTTGTTAGTCCGTCAAGCCCTGACAAACTTGAAAGCAAGTTGAAGGTGACGGATCGTCGCTACACAGCGACTCGGCTTCTCTTTCGAGCCCGGTCGTTTGCCACACCTTCGGTTTAGCCAGTTCAGTATTGGATCAGGCTTTCAGTCTTCAAGCTGAGCTACGGGCTTGAGAAATGTTGGGGTTGAACTGAAGGGTTGAATGAGTTTCGGTTGAGTTCTTCGGATGTTATGTTAACACTTACAGCGCCACGTCTCTAGTCATATCATGTGAAGCTGCTCACTGGTGCAGTCCACAAAGCCTGTGTCTCGACGGCAATAGCCGAACCACAAAGGTGGAGCTTGTCTACGACGCTGACGCCCGTTGGTGCAAGCGCAACTTCCTGCATCGTTTCAGCGCCGGCCTCGGGGTGCTGTTTGCATCTTAGTGAACCTGTCAGGTGGTCAGCGGTGTCGTCTGCATAGCCCGAAACTGGACATATATGTTGTTTCAACCTCGGAGATCTTTCGGCAGGCGATTTTGCTTCAAAAGACTATCTTGGCCTCTATACACCAAGCTCGCACTTTGAAAGGCTTGGCATTCTGCGACTCGGAGGGTGCCCACCAGAGTGCCAGAGCAGCACTGCCGACGGAGCTGTGGCACGAAACAGGATTAGGGCTCGGGATTTGCGATATAGGGTTTTGCGGCTTTAGAAAGCTGCGACTTCAGGTAGAAGGCAGGGATGCAAACATGGCTAGGGGTGTGGATGCGCGGTTTAGAGCTCAAGGGTTCACTAATTCCTTGGCTGTGTTCTGTTTAGGGTTCGGGGCTCAGGGTTCAAGGTTTTCCGTCGTAATCTCATCGCATGGGTGCAAGCGGGGTTTCGACTGCGCTGCATGTCCATGGGTAAACATGGCCAGCCCTTATAACAGAAGCAGAAACAGTCCCGGCGGATCCCAAAATCTGTCATACCGAGAGGGAGGGAGAGAGAGAGAGAGAGAGTGCTTCGCTGCAATTGGTAAAGCCCTCGCATTGGATTGCTCAGGACCTTCGCGAGGTTATGTGGCACGTAACACCCAAAGAAATGCCTCTTGTCTGTGGTTGGCTGGGAGGACCCATAGCTTCAGAGCTCTGGTTTCTCAGTGCATGAAAGGCGAATGTCAAGGAATGTAGGGTTGTTGCAAGCTCCAAGTAGCTGAAAGCAGTTGACTGGCGGGCTTAGCAGAAATTTCCGCCGCCAAACGTTGCATAATTCATATTCAACAGCATTCGGCGTGCTGCTTGACTTCCTCGGTTCTCTCGTTACAGGATGTTGTGTCAGGTTCCTGGCTGGCACGGCTTTCTTTTAGCTGTTTGGGCGCAGGGGTTCCCAACATCTAAATTGTGGGGATTGTAACAACTCACTACTGGGCAGTCGGCCCGGCCATGACACAGAGAGTCCCCAATACATATGTGTATATATATATATGCATATCTATACACAGATGTACATGCACATGCATGTATGTATGTGTGTATATGTGTGGATGCATACCTATGTACTGTTCTATGTTTCTGTATATTTCAAGGATACAATTTAGAGAAGGGGCGATGAAACATCATCACAATGTTTGACAAACCGCAGGAGACACCTTCGACATGATTTCGCACATGCATCTCATTCAGAAGCCCCTCAGCCCTGAACCTTAAACTCACAACATTGGTCGCTTCCTCAGTGTATACCCCAACTGGGGTGAGTCTCTGCGGCGAGAAAGGGGCTATTGCACTTTAAAAACAGGCCTTAAACTCTGATCCTCCAAGGGTGAGCGCCTTGGCAATCGACACATACACGGTCTATGATGGCATCGACCTTCCGCCCTGGGACCAAAGCCCGACCTTGTAAAAGAGGCGTCTTCCGGCAGGTATGTCTGCAAAGTCAGGCTGTGTCAGGTTTGATAGCGTCATGCAGTTTCGGGTAGTGTAGAAGTTCAGGATTTAGGTATGGATTGAGGAACTGCCGCGTGGATCGCTCGATTTGCGCGCTTGGGTCAATGAAGGCGTGGTTGGTCATATGGTGGGTTCTTGGAAGTTGGCCAACATGGGGAAGGATTAGGCAGCGTAGACCCCAAACGGCACAAAACAAGCTAGCAATCCAAACCCGAGGTATTAAAGCTCCGAAGACCAACCCATGAGTCTAAACTGCGCACGCTGTGGAGACCCTCAGAACAAGCACGGCACCGTGGGGGGAGGACGGTTTGTGGAGGCGGAAACACGAGTCGCACCCAAGACATCCACGGGATTCACGGGACTGTGGCGGCACGCGGGGCACTGTGGCACTATGGTGGGAGCACGATTGCCAAGTGTGGAAACTTAGAACGGGGAGATTTCGAGACCATGCCAAGCAGCTCCAGTGAGGTTTGCATGTACAAGGTAGGACTCGTAGAACATGAGGAAGCATTGGAGAGGAAGACAGGAGAACCGTTGAACAAAACCCAATGATTTCTAACACATACAAGAAGAACCCAGACAATCTCCAAGCAAATCCAAACAAGCAGAACATCCCTAGCAACATAAACGCAGGCTGTATTGCACGCCCTGCCCAACAGGCTTTGGTGAGACTTCAGTCGGACACTACGTCACTAAGAGCCAGGGAGTGGATCCCGGAATCCTTTCGAACGGTTAAGGGTTTTAGGATTTAGGGTTTAGGGTTTAGGGTTTATAGGGTTTAGGGTTCTGAATAACTCGAAAGACGTGGAATTCGATTCCGAACCGCTCAAGAGGCCTACATATCCTTGGCCAAGATCTTTGTGATTTCAGCAGGAGCGAAACAAGAGCCGCAACGATCCAATATGTTCTGGGTTTCACTGTTCCACTCCTTTGCCCAAGATGCCTAGAAGTAATAGCTATGCGGCTATGCAATTATCTGTTCATACAGCATCGAGGACCGAATCGAGTGCCCAGCCTTGTTCAGTTGCAGTCGCCGCTCTCTGGCCGCCCTTGTGCCCAAGACGTTGAGTTGCGACACCGTGTAGAGGCGTAATTGTTCCGTTTAGAGGTGACACAACTTTACACCATAAGAGACCTCATCCGGCTACGCCGAGTTGTGAGAGCGTCAGCCATAAACCGTCCAAGCCCTAAACTTTAAATCCACCCACCTGCATGGGCAGCTTGAAGTGTCACGCCGACTTATGCACCTATGGATCCTCGCCTGGCTTGTCCGAGTTGTGAGAGTGTAAATCCACCCACCTACCACTCCCGTAGCCTTGCAAAACTTCTGTCGCTTGGCGCAACACCGTGGAAAGCCAGGGTTTCTTGTAGGGCCCCTGCGTAGGGTTCCGGGTGCAGGGCTTTGGATGCGATAGCCTGCGTTTCCGAATCTAGAGCCCCGAAGCACTCTAACCTCCTAGCCAGACATATCTCCGAGCAAGGCACCCTACGTGATGGGATATCGGTACATCGTAGAATTCCTCCATGTTCCAGCCATGTTCTTACTATGGCCGCAGGAGGCCTGGCTAAGTTGCTGGAGCGGCAAGGGCCCCTTATGCCATGTGCTCGTGCAGCACTTCCCGGGTTTATACGTCAGACGCTATCATGCAGACCAATTCCATCAGCACTTCTTCCACTCACAACAAGTCCAAGAAAGTTGAGCTCATCGTCCAGTTCATGCTGAAAGAGTGAGTTTGTGCTATAGCAGAAGCATGTGCGGAATCATT